CTTACCAAGAACTCACATATTTAGCACAATTAAAAGGGCGCAACTTTTTAGATACCAAATGATAGTACCATGGACACATTAGCTACCTCCTGATAAATTTCAACATTGTATCCAAGTAAATGGTGACATGAATATTTGTATGTATATCTAATTTTACTTTGTTACAAATTGAAACGAATATGAGAAATCATCTAGCCATTATATCGCTGATAAATCTAGACAGTTTCTAATGTGTAGTCTCCAGTGCTTGCATGCATCACTGACAAATATTACACACATCAGCTGCCTCTTGTCTCTGTTTTCTTTCTCTTAACAACTTAGCCAGAAGTAAAAGGTTTCATGATTGTAAGGAAGACTGATGTCAAACATACCGGCAGATGTACTCTGTAATTTACAAGAGATAAATGTCAGATTCAACTTACAAAGTGGAAGGAGAAGATGTAAAGAAAATGAGTCTTACATTCATTTTTTTTTTAAAAAACACCTTTATCCTGTCATCTTTTGACTTTTATACCTTTTTACAGACTTTTACAATATTTCAAATTGCCACAAGCCAGTGTTAAATTCATAAGTTTGGCAGCAGAATGGTGAGCAAAACCCCTGCACAAAACAGTAGATATTTCTTGATTTCCACATATCAACTTTCAATTTTTAATTATCCATATGAATAGTTCCTTGTATTTTTCTGTTCCTGATTAAATTCCTCTTATAGATGAGTTGGAGGCAAATACTCTAAACTCTCCAAATCTCACCTGATTTTGGAAGCTCAGCAAGTCCAGTCCTGGCTAGTAACTGGATGGGAGATCGCTAATGAATGCAAGGAATCAAAGGCTACATTTTACAGGAAGTAACTGGCAAAACCATCTCTGAGTGCAGAACCTGGATCTGCAATCTTCAATAAGTCCAGGTTGTGTTACCCCATATTAGTAAATGGCAGTGAAATGAAAGTGGACATGCTGACCAATGTGTGTTCATGTTATCACCATAAAATAATACAAAGTGTGATTGTTTACATTTTGTTGTATTTGTGATTTATCCCAAAACCAACCCCCATGGATATGATAGGTAAAGGTAAAGGTCTCCCTTTGACATTAAATCTAGTTGAGTCCAACTCTGGGGGGTGGTGCTCATCTCCATTTCTAAGCCAAAGAGCCAGTGTTGTCCGTAGATGCCTCTAAGGTCATGTGGCTGGCATGACTACATTGGAGTGCCATTACCTTCCCGCCGAAGTGGTACCTATTATCTACTCACATTTGCATGTTTTCGAACTGCTAGGTTGGCAGAAGCTGGGGCTAACAACAGTAGCTCACCCCATCCCATGGATTTGAACCGCCAACCTTCTGGTCAGCAACTTCTGCAGTTTAGCAGTTTAATCCGTTGCACCACCATGGCCCCATGGATATGATGGACCCACTGTATTCCTTGATGGGCCCATTATATTCCCTATGAAATGAATGGTAAGTCAAAAGGTGACTTGAAGACATATACACACAAACATAGACATAGATTGATTGGAACCAGAAATGCCATTACCCATGTGGACACAACTGTTTCCAACCTTCAGGTGATATTTTCCAGTATTCTATTTAGGAGGTTAGGTAATTAATTGTGTCTGAGATAGCATCATCACAGGACCTAAACCCTAGCTGTGCATTTTTCCTTAGTGATGGCTCTATAAGCCCCTGTTTATATTCTTCCAGAGAAAATTACATTGTAACATATGGGAACATATGCACTGTAATGTGTTCTGACAGAGCTAGGTGGCCCTTAGTTGGTACTGCTTTTATCTTTTTGATGAGCCAACCATTTTGGCACAGTTTTAGCAGACTTTGTTTTCATTCATGGGTGTTAATTGCTGTTTTAAGGGAGCAACAACTTGTTTGAAAAAGATAAGTGGCAAATGTGTGTGTGCACATGAGTGCAATCATATGTGTGCTTTCTCAAGTTCGTTTTAATGTATTGAACGGGCCTTTTTGATTGCAGGACTGCAATTGTAAATTGAACACATGACCAAATAAGCAATCCTCAATTTTTCTCCAAGATCCCTTCCACACAGCCATATAATCCTGAATATCAAGGCAGAAAGTCCCACAATATCTGCCTTGAGCTGGGTTATCTGAGTCCACACTGCCATATATTCCAGTTCAAAGCAGATAATGTGGGATTTTAATCAGCCTCGGAAAGAGAGCATTTCCCCTCTTAAAGATACAATATGTATTTTTATTATTTATTACACTTTTCTCCTTGCTCTACAAAACTGCTTTGGCTGTTAAATTATAGCCTGCCAAAACCGTAAAACCAAAACTTGAGGTTGAGGCCAAGAGTGAGGTCCAAGCCAGGGACTGCAGGAGGCTTTTGTTCTGTGAGCACAACATCATTTCCCAAAGATAATAACCTAATCATCTTCCCCTACTGGCTATAATTTAATTCCAACACAAAGAAGCAAAGTTTAAAACTCTTTTATCATTCCCTAGATGTTGTTTCTCCTGAGTTACAGATAGTTTTATTTCATCTAGCTTTGGTTTCTCCATGTTCCAAAAGTTACAGAACACGGGTTTGAGTAAATTAAGTCCCTACTGATTTTAATGGCCTTACGCAAGATTAACTCTCTTTTCCTGGCATCCGATGTTGCCAGATTTTGGAAAAGAAGTAGGATCAGTCCTGGTTAGGACTCAGATGGGAGAAAATGAATACCAGCTGCGGTGGTATTTAATATTTTAGGGGAAGGAAGTGCTAAACCAGATCTGAGTATTCCTTGCCTAACAAAACCCTATGAAATTCATAAGGTTGCCATAAGTCAACAGTCAACTTAAAGGCACACACACACACAAATTTGGTATTCCAGAGTTTTTCAGATAGGGAAAAAACTGTGTTGCTGAGTTTTTCCAGACCCCCAGATGCAAACACTCCTGTCTTCAAGCTTCACTTCCCCGCCCAATTCATCATTTGTTTTCTGACTCATATGTATTTGGAAGAGTGACAGCTTTCTGCTCTTTAAACTAACAAACTGAGATCCCAGCACAAAAGCACATTCTTTCCTAAGTCCATTGGCAAAAGTCACACACCGCAGGCAGTTCTCTTTGCACACAGTTCTGCTCAATTTTCAGCCTTTCAGAAAAGGAGTGGGTGAAGAAGTGAATGGCGGCGGGGGACGGAGAAAGGCAAAGTTGAGGGGCAATTCCTGAGTCATAACATTCTCCAAGGCACTGGGTATCTTAAAATGTCCCCAACTTTAAGGCGATCTCTTTGAAAATAACTGGGAAGTAAAACTTTAACAATTTAATAGTTGTATATTCAGGCCAGATCTACACTGCCCTATATCCCAGGATCTGATCCTAGGTTATCTGGCAGTGTAGATCCAGCTTCAGATGTGAGTCATTTTAGGTCTCGGTTCATGAGATTTAAAAAGGGGGGTATAAGTACATAAAATAATAATAGTAGTAACTTGGCAGTTCAAGTTATGCTGTTGAAGGCTTTCATGATTGGAATCTCTGGGTTGCTGTGAGTTTTCCGGGCTGTATGGCCATGTTCCAGAAGCATTCTCTCCTGACGTTTCACTCACATCTATGGCAGGCATCCTCAGAGGTTGTGAGGTCTGTTGAAAACTAGACAAGTGGGGTTAATATATCTGTCCAGGGTGGGAGAAAGAAGTCTTGTCTGCTTGGGGCAGGTGTGAATGCTGCAACTGGCTAGCTTGCTGCCAGTTGTGAGGCTGCTAAGTTCCCTTCAGGTGAGAAGGGTTGGGTAGAAGTATGGGAAATAAATAAATGTTATCTTTCTCCCTGGACATTCCACAGATATATAAATGTCACTTGCCTTGTTTCCAACAGACCTCTCAACCTTTGAGGATGCCTGCCAGGCATGTGGATGAAACATCAGGAGAGAATGCTTCTGGAACATGGCCAGACAGCCCGGAAAACTCACAACAACCTCAAGTTGTGTTTTCTCCGAGATTGTCACTGCCTCACAAAATGGGAAGTCATAGATATTGATATGTTATGTTTATTACTCTATATTTAACGTGATATGCTAACTGATTTAAATTTATATGGCATGTTTATTATTATATGTGTAATATGACATTGTATGCCATGGTCTGTGAGCTGCCATGAGTCCCCATGGGGGTGAGAAGGGCGGGGTATAAATGTAGTATAATAATAATAATAATGGAATCATAGAGTAGGAAGAGACCACAAAGGCCATCCTGTTCAACCCCTTGCCATGCAGGAAAATATAGTCAAAGCACTCCTGATAGATGACTACCCAGTCTTTGTTTATAAACCTTCAGAGAAGAAGACCCCACCACCATTCAAGGCAGCCTATTCCACTGCCAAACAGCGCTTCCCATTAGGAAGTTCTTCCTAATGTTGAGGTGGGATCTTTTCCCCCCTGAGATTTGAATCCGTTCCTCCTCGTTCTAGTCTTTAGAGAAGCCTTCCCAATGTGACATTGTTTCAAGTACTTAAACATAGCTCTCCTATCCCCTCTCAACCTCCTTTTCCCCAAGCTAAACTGTACCCAGCTCCTTAAGCTGTTCCTTATACAGGAAGAAGCCAGACCTTGCAACTGCTAGGCCATTAAATGCTAATCAATTGCAACACTCACACCTACCTCAAACAGACATAGTCTTTAGAGCAGTCTTCCCAATGTGGCATCCTTTCAAGTATTGAAACATAGCTCTTCTGTCCCCTCTCAGCCTCCTTTTCTCCAAGCTAAACTGTACCCAGCTCCCTAAGCTGTTCCTCACGCAGTAAGAAGCTAGACCTTGAAACTGCTAGGCTATTAAATGCTAATCAATTGCAACATTCACATCTACCTCAAACAGACAGGAGTTCTTTCTCCCACACTGGACAACCATCATAAGCAACAACCAAGGACATCCTTCAAGTCTCAATGTCTTTGATTTAAAACTGCAACTCGTCTTGGGCACATATCCTCCAACTTGTCCTCAAAGACACACACACACTCTCCTATTTCCTAACCCGCTGCTCCATACTCACCGGTCTCCCCATCCTCTTCCTCCCCTTCTCCTCCTTCCTCTTCCTCCTCCTCCTCCACCTCCAGCAGCACGTCTTGGTTCTCCACATCCATGGCGCCCTTTGGTTTCCAGGCGCTGCGGAGAGCAAACTTGGGGAGAGGCGCAGGGGAACGAAGGGGAACGATGGGACCAGCCCAGAGAGAGGAAAGAGAGACTTTGGTCCCAGCTTGCCTCCGAAAGAGAAAGTCCTCCTGAGCCGCTGAAGGGGTGGAGTTGGACTTCTGCTTCGGCTCCAAACTCACCCAAAGCCTTGCTGCCTTGAAGTGGGCAGAGAGAGGCGGCGGGAAAGCCAGAGAGAGGGGAGGGGCCTCGGGTTGCCATGAAGACTCTGAAGTTGTTGTGAGGGTGGGGTCCGTGTTTTGTTTGACACCCCCCCCCCTTAACTTCTCACTCCCTTCTGGCTGAGTGCCCAAGTGGCTTTCCTGCCTGAAGAGGAACATCCTTGAAGGCTCCCCATCCCAGTCAAAGAGTTGCCAGAGTGAGACTTTGTACCCCACAGTTCAAGAAAAGGAGTGACAATCTGAAACAAGGAGGGCGACTGCCTAAAAGGATCAAAGATCTGGAGATCATGCCCAATGAGGAGCGTCTTAAAGAGCTGGGCATGTTTAGCCTGCAGAAGATTCATAGTATCATAGAATTGGAAGAGACCTCTGCGCCATCCAGTCCAACCCCTTGCCAAGAAGCAGGAAAATTGCATTCAAAGCAACACCAACAGATGGCCATCCAGCCTCTGTTTAAAGGCTTCCAAAGAAGGAGCCTCCACCACCCTCCGAGGCAGAGAGTTCCACTGCTGAATGGCTCTCACAGTCAGGAAGTTCTTCCTAATGTTCAGATGGCTTTTTCGGTGGTGGCTCCACGACTCTGGAACTCACTCCCCAAGGACATCAGGCATGCCCCAACTCTGGCAGTCTTTAAGAGGAGCCTGAAAACATGGTTGTTCCAGTGTGCCTTCCCAGAATAAGGAAACTCCTAGCAATATGTCCCTAAATGCACTTTATCAATGATCTAGGATTGTCTGCACACCCCTTTCCTCTCCGAAATTCTATCCTAGTTATATATTTCACCTGGTCATGCTCAGCATTTTTTTTTTAAAATTTTAATTATTACATTTGGCCCAGCCATAGGTTTTTAATGCGTTGTTGTGCTATTGTTAATGTTTACTGCTTTTTTTTGTTTATGAGTTTCATATCGTTTTGTATTGCTGTTGTTGTTGTTGTTTTGCTGATGTATTCTGGGCTCGGCCTCATGTAAGCAACACCGAGTCCCTTGGGGAGATGGTAGCAGGGTACAAATAAAGTTATTATTATTATTATTATTATTATTATTATTATTATTAGATGGAATCTCCTTTCTTGTAGTTTGAAGCCATTGTTCCGCATCCTAGTCTCCAGAGAAGCTCTCTCCTCCCTATGACTTCCTCTCACGTATTTATACATGGTTATCATGTCTCCTCTCAGCCTTCTCTGCTTCAGGCTAAACATGCCCAGCTCTTTAAGCTGCTCCTCATAGGGCTTGTTCTCCAGACCCTTGATCATTTTAGTCGCCCTCCTCTGGACACATTCCAGCTTGTCAACATCTCTCTTCAATTGTGGTGCCCAGAATTGGACAAAGTATTCCAGATGTGGTCTAACCAAGGCAGAATAGAGGGGTAGCATGACTTCCCTGGAAGGTTGGGAGGATCTGAAAGGATCTCATAAGGAAGAAGAAGCAGGCTTTTTTCCTGCTGCACTGGATATTAGTGGCCCTTCCACACAGCCCTATATCCCAGAATATCAAGGCAGGGAATCCCACATTTTCTGCTTTGAACTGGAATATATGGCAGTGTGGACTCAGATAACCCAGTTCAAAGCTGATATTGTGGGGTTTTCTGTCTTGATATTCTTGATATAGAACTGCGTGGAAAGCCCCAAGGACTCGGAATAATGGGTCAAATTACAGGAAAGGAGATTCCAACTGAACATTAGGAAGAACTTCCTGACTGTAAGAGCTGTTCAGCAGTGGAACTCTCTGCCTTGGAGTGTTGTGGAGGCTCCTTCTTTGGAGGCTTTCAAACAGAGGCTGGATCATCTGTCAAGGGTACTTTGTGCTTTTCCTGCATGGCAGGGGGTTGGACTAGATTGCATATGCAGTCTCTTCCAACTATGATTCTAAAACTGAATAGGGTTTGCTGAACCTTTAATAGGGCCATCTACAATTATGGGAGATGAAGTCCAGGTGTTCTGGACTTCATCTCCCAGAATTCCTGACTGTTGGCCAAGATGACTGTAGTTTCTGGGAGTTGGAGTCCAAAATATCTGGGACCCACTGATCCACACTATCGAATTAATGCAGCATAGCACCACTTTAACTGCCTGTAGTTAATTCTATGGAATCATGTGAGTCAAGTTGTTTACAAGATTTAGTTTTCTCTGCCAAAGAGTTTTGGTGTTTCAGCAAATGGGAACTCCTATAATAATAGTAGGAAGAAGAAGGAGGGTGTTGGACTGGATGGCCCATGAGGTCTCTTGCAACTCTATGATTCTATGATTCTAAGATTAAAATATAGTGAACACAAGACATGGGTTTAAAACTCATGATTAAAACTGAGTAGGCCTGCCAGAAGAGATAGCTTCCGTAATATTGAGCCATGGAGGTTTATGTGGTGTCAGACCACATGAATTCAACAGTGTCATTTTAGCCCAAGAGGGAATTTCAGGGGGTATTACTTGTGGTTGTATGAGATGAAATGGCCACTGAAGTTCCCTCTTCTACCCAGCTAGGATCAGATTCCAGTTTCCAATATGGCAACCTTCAAGGCAGCACCCAGAGGCAGCTAATAAAAACGAACTAATAGGAAAGTTATTTGGAGAGCTGGGTATGTTTATCTTGGATTTAAAAAGGCCAAAAGGGGACAGGATAGCCATATTTAAGTATTTGAAAGGATGCCATATTGAAGAAGGGAGCAAGTTTGTTTTCTAGGACTCAGAGTAGCAGATTCAAATTACAGGAAAAGAGATTCCACCTTAACATTAGGAAGAGCTATTCAAACATGGAATATATTGCCTTGGAGCGCCTTCTCTGGAGGTTTTTAAACAGAGACTGGCCATCTGTTGGGAGGGCTTTGTGTGTTGCTGCATAGCGGGGGTTAGACTAAATTGTTCTTGGTGTCTTTTCTAATTTGTGGTTCCACTTTGCCTATGCGTGACACTCAAAATGTCCTACCTCAGGTAGTCATGAAAGTTCACTGAAGGCTAAAGCTGATTCATGCAGAGTATTTGATAACTGCATATCTGGGGCAATTGCTTTATAACCACTGGTTAGCAGTGATGTGATAGTGAATTCACTTTAAGTCTTTGTACAGATTGAATTTTCCTCATTTGAAACACTTGGGACAAGAAGGGATTTTTGATTTTTTCCCTAGATTTTGGAATATCCATATTTACATATACACACATAATGAGATATCTTGGAATAACAGAGTATCTCCTATACACTCTCCTGCTCTGTTGCCTAAATTTAAGCAAAACATTCATTTATGTTTCATGTACATCTAGCCTGAAAGCAATTTTATGATGTATTTTTAATAATTTTATGCACTGTAGTACCAGAAGTCAGAAGTAGGACTATTTCACTCACCCCATGGGGACAATTTAAATTTTTGAGTATTTCAAAATTCCAGATAATGGATGCTCAACCTGTTCAATCTTTAAAGAGCTATCCAAGGTGCTGATGTAGGGTCATCGCTTTAATACTTGCCATAAAGAGCAGACTAAGAGCCAAGATGGATTAGCCACCCCTCTCACATGAAAACCAGTAAGTGCCACCAGTTGTTTCCCTTCATTGTTCTGAACCTAGAGAGGAATCCTGAGTGGCCATATTCATAATCTATCTTCCAATACATTTTGCATATGAAAATTCACAGGTATTCACAGAAGGTATTAGAGTAGCTTTTCTCAACCTGGAGGTCAGGACCCCTGGGGGATCATGAGGGGGTGTCAGAGGGGTCACCAAAGACCATCAGAAAACAGTAGTTTCTGTTGGTCATGGGGGTTCTGTGTTTAGCTCAATTCTATCATTGGTGGAGTTCTGAATGCTCTTTGATTGTAGGTGAACTATACATCCCAGCAACTGCAACTCCCAAATGTCAAGGTCTATTTTCCCCTAGCTCTACCAGTGTTCATATTTGGGCAAATTGAGTACAAGTGCCAAGTTTGGTCCAGATCCATCATTGTTTGAGTCCACAGTGCTTTCTGGATGTGGGTGAACTACAACTCCAAAACTCAAGGCCAGTGCCCACCAAACCATTCCAGTATTTTCTGTTGGTCATGGGAGTTCTGTGTGCCAAATTTTGTTCAATTCCATTGTTGGTGGAGTTCAGAATGCACTTTGATTGGAGGTTAGCTATAAATCTCAGCAACTACAACTCCCAAATGACAAAATCAATCCCCCCAACCCCACCAGTATTCAAATTTGGGCATATCGGGTATTTGTGCCAAATTTTGTCCAATGAATTAAAATAAATTCTGCATGTCTGATGTTTACATTATGATCCATAACAGGAGCAAAATTGCAGTTATGAAGTAGCAACGAAAATAATGTTATGGCTGAGTGTCACCACAACATGAGGAAGTGTATTAAAGGGTCACAGCATTAAGAAGGTTGAGAACCACTGTCTTAGAGAGTGGTGAAAGACAGAAATGGTGCACCCACTCCTTTCTTTGTGTTTAGTTAGACATCAAAAGTAGAACAATTGAGTATTTCTTATGCCCTCTCCGGCACGCTAGTTTAAAAGAATTCTTGAAGATGAGACCAAGTATTTATACATCAGTAGGTATATGACACTGAGGGCCCTTCCAGACAAGTCCCTGTGTCCCAGGATCTGATCCTAGGTCTTCTGCTTTAAACTGGATTATATGAGTCCACACTGCCAGACAACCTGGGATAAACAGAAAATCTGGGATGAGATCCTGGGATATAGGGCCTGTCTGAGTCCTGGGCTGAAAGTGAAGTGACAGTTAGCAAGAATTCAGTGAAAAAGCCCCTGAATTATTAATTCTGTGCATTGTTTTCTCTTCATGTAAAGATGTCTATACCTTTTTTCAGGACTGAAGTCATCTCAAAATGGTGTAGAAGATGAGACTCATACTGGTACTTGTGTGTGTATATGCTTTCAAGTCACTTGTTGCCTTATGGCAATCCTATAGATTCCATAGAACTTTCTTAAGTGAGGAATACTCAGAGGTGGTTTCCTAATTCCTTCTTCTGAAATATAGCCTACTGCACCTGGGATTCAATGAT